GGGGCGGGACACTCTATATATGTGTGTGTGAGTAGCTGTATGTGCGTTTGCGTGTATATGAGATGGGGGGTGGTGTCGACCAGAAAGCATAAATTGAAGCCCGTGTCGTCTTCTCGGCGCACTGTGTCTGAGCTCGCTGCCTGTTCCTCCTCATCCGTCCATCCTTTATTTCCCTCCTTCTCCTCCTCCTCCCTCGGATCCTCATACATATATACCTACCTGGCTTATATATGTACACATTTTGGGCTTTTTTTTACTTTTTTAATTTTTTGGGGTTTTGCTTTGAGCAGATCCAGATGGATTTTTTTTGTCTCTTGATGATGAGCGGCTAGAATTTAGCTCAGTCTCTTTTTTAATCCTGCTACCCTCTCCTCCATCCCGACTGCATGCGTGACACCTGCCTGCCTCCCGTCCCCTCAACCCCCTTGTCCACCATCCCTCCAACCCACCCCCTGTGTCCCTGCTCTCCCCCCCACCCCCCACCCTGCAGGAGGACCTTCACAACAGGATGGAGCTGCGCAGTCACAACTACAGCAACGATAACAAAAACCAGGACCGAGGACCTGAAGGAGGAAATACTCTGCAGTGTCTCTATTTTTATTTTTGCCTCATCTATAGAGAGGAATTATTTGATCTGAGAAAAAAAAGTGTAAAAGGCAAAAAAAAAAAAACAGAAAAGGGATTGAGTGTGCTCATATGTACTTTCTCTCGTTTTCTTGATTTAAACTTTCCTGCTCGTTAAATGACCCGTTTGTGTATCAGATTGTTATTTGGATCCTGTTTTCTATTCTGTCCATGGCTTAAGAGTTGCATGCGCAGAGTGCACGGAGAGAGAGAACAGTAAAGAGATGGAGAGTAGGAGGGAGGGTAAAGAGGGACATAACGGCACAACTGTAATGAAGGTTGGTCCGGTTAAACCATTGCCAAGCTCCTTAAACAGGAAAAGTGGATCCGGTTGGGATCAGGACACTGCGGTGCATCGTGGCGTGTCCTCGCAGGTATCTAGTCGCCTTCCTTTGTTTTGCTCTGAGAAGACGGTCTGCCGGAATGGTAGCGATCAGGTAGCTGCTGCTCTCTTTATGGTGCAACAAAGGTAGATTCGCTCGCTTGCTCTATCTCACTCCCTGTTTCTCTGCTCTCGTCTCTCCGTGCTGCATTTCTTTAAATCATGTGCTGTATTATATTTACACAGATTATTGGAAAAGCGTGAATCCTTCTTGGATGATAGATTTTTTTTCCCCCTCTACGTTTTATGGGTGAAAACCCGTTCTTGCACATGTAGAATTGCATGCATGCATGTATACACTGTCGGATGCTCAATACAATCACGTATATAGGTTTTTTTTTGGCATCCTTTGTATAAAATGCACTCGTTTCAAAAGGAGGCTGCATGTTTGTGTGGGATTAGCATGCCATAGAACCGCAGAGCCGCCCCTGAGCCCACAGGGACGACACAGGTGAGGAGAAAGGAATCACAAAGTCAATCAGGGATGGAGTGACGAAATGCAAAATGAACAACTAAACTAGAATGCATTTTTATCAAAGTGTTGAAATATTCCAAAAGCACTGCGAGAGACAGGTCAGACGCTTTGGAAGTTTGGGTTTGAGCTCTTTGTGTTCACAGTGGACCTTGATTTAATTTCAATACAATTAAGGCACGCGGTGAATGCCAAGAGAGGAGCCACAGTCGACCCAAATGTGACAGAAACCAGCAATCAGGGACCTAAAACCCAACACTGATAACCGCACAGGCGAGTCTTCCTCAGCATCCTGTGAGATTAACGAGAGTCGCATGAGAATCGGTTGAAATGTTAAGACGTGAGCATCACAATCGCTGCGCAAAGTTGCTGGTTTCCATGTGAGAGCAAACAGCGCTGCAGGCAGCACTGGTGTCACTCCTGCAGCCAAATGGACAGAGGGATCACACCAGGGGGGTTGCCATGTGGTGACAGAGTGACACTTCAAAGGTCTGTGTGTTTACTCACGAGTCCAGTCAAAAAAAAAAAAGAGTCTGGAAATGGTTTTAAAACGTCCTGAAGCATCCTTCTGCATGCCGACGATGAATACAGTCGTACATTTGAAATGATTTTGATTTTCAGTTTCACATTTGTGCTTTTTGTTCTTCAAAACGTGTCAATAAAGAAGTTGTTTCATGGACTGCATTCCTCCTTGTATCTAGTTTTTCTTTCTTTTGTCTCTAAAGTAAAAGCAGCAGAAGAAACAAGGCCCAAAGCACGGAGCAATTTAAATAATGAGCGTCGGTTCTGCTCCTAAAAATCACAGCGCCACATCAAATGATTGGAGCTGTAAATTGCTGCAGGCAACAGAGATGTGAGCTGACCTACATCTGAGACGACGGAGGCAGAAGATGCAGAAATAACGAAGGGGTGATGCTTCCCCAACACGTTCCTTACAGAATATTTCAGAAGTTGACGCGCTGCACCTTTAATTCAACCATTTTTAAGGTTTCAGTCGGGTTGAAATACGCTCATCGTTGAAGGAATTCATAAAACACAGAGAAGGAAATAAAACTATAATATATATATAATATATGTTGACGTGTTTGTCATCTCCACACAATAAGACTGCAGGGGGGGCGAGAGCGCCACATATGTCAGGACAGAGGTCATCAACTGTTTGCGAGCCCCCTTTGGCTGTCTCCACATTATGCATAACACAATTAGAAGAAATGAGGGGCTAATACTCAACACATCAACAGAGCAGGACCCCCGGTGCTGGAGAGCAGGTGACCGTATAGACCCCCCCCTTACCCATCCCCCAACACATGATCAAATTATACAGTTGTGACGTAAAACGTTTTCTTACACGTTCTTTTTTCCTTTAGTGACTACCGCTTTTGGTTGTGAAGAATTCAAATAAATCTACTTATGAAAAACGTAATTTAGTGCGATTTCAAACGAGTGCGAGCAAAATGAATGCGACGACAACAAAAGGCCTCAACTCGTTTTAATAAAGCTGTCCTGTTCCGATACAGCGCAACTGGCCTTTTTTTTTTTTTTAATACAAGTTTGTTTTTTCATCAAGATGCACAAAAAGGCCGACAAAATCTAATTTATTCGTGCAAATAGAGGTCGGCTCGACATGAAGCGTCACTAATGGAAGAGAGAGATGGATGCCTTATGATAATGAGGGGGACTAAAGCAGAACCATGACCTTGCAGTGCAACATGAACCCAAAGACCCAACACCTTTCATGACAACGCTCACTCCCAGATGTTCCCACTGCATGTGGAAGAAATGCAGGGTCAGGCTGGTTTGAGTGGGACAGGCTCACTTCAGGTGTTTTCAGGTTTAATGGAAAACTGGAGCTGAATCAGGTAAAAAGGATAATGGCGTACGAGTGCCTCTTGTGAGTGGATGTGTCCTTCACCGCCACAAACTCACCACCACTGCTCTTTTTGCTTCTTCATCTCCCTCCTCCACCTTCCCCCTTTCTTTTCGGTGGCGTGGCATCTCCACGCGCCTCTCTGCTCATTTGCATCCCAGGAGGGACCAAAAGGCGTCCCCTGAGACCCCCTGGTAAGGGTCACAGGAGAACCCCCCTCCTCCCCACGCACGCAGGCGACACGTGCCGTCGACATACGTCCTCACACGCGCGCAGGTCTCAAGCCAAGTCTGGAACTTAAAGCCAAGTTACGATCGTTTCTAAAACAAAATTTTGTTGCATTTTGTGGATAAATTAGAACAAAATTACACCAATACAAAATATAACGTAGGCTACAATCTTTATCACTGCTTTTTTAAGGGGCTATAATATTAAAAGGCTCTGATGTCGGGCCCCAACATTGAATTTAAAACGAGGAAGCCATCCTGATTAAACGGTCCTTTGTCTCCCCCTGGTGGCTCATACGATCACTACAACCGTAATCACCAGGAGAGAAAATGGCGGATTGCGGATTTATACACAAAAGCCTTAAGACACGAAAAAATTTAAAATGTTACATTTCCACAATTCAAGTAAGTTTATAGCACAAGAACTAACCGTTGAATACCCCCAAAACTGCCAAATTAAATAAATTTACCCCCCTAAACCGCACCAATTGACTGTTACAATTGCGCATGCGTAAAACTGGAACCACGCCCCCAATTAGTTTCATAGCTTTTTCCGGTTGGCCGTCATCTCCACTGTTTAGGTCCTTTCCACAGCTTTTTTAAATCTACTGTCGTGTTTGAATGACTGCAGGGAACAGCTGAAAGGTAATCTTTGTTAAAAAACAGGTCTCTCGAGTCAACGAGGCTCAATGGAATTAACCTGTGTAAATAATGGTTGAAAAAAAAAAGTATATATATATATATATATATATATACATATATATACACATATATACATATATATATACATACATATATATATATATGGCAAAAAATACTTAGGCTTGCACATTAGTGACTGCAAAAAAAAAAAGGTAATTTCATCCAGAACAAAAAGCTATTTCTTACCAAAAAAGGGTACATTATATGCATCCACATACAAAAGTTCACTTGCATTAATACAATTAAAATATAATGTCCTAGATACATAATTTAGCCTTAAATGGAACTTTAGAGGGGGGTAAAGCTGGCCATCAAATGGACCACACCAGAAGAACCCAGCATGACTTTGTGGAGCATCTTTATTACGCCACAAATGAAAGCCAGTAGTTATTAAAGAGGACGTGTCTTTTTTTTTTCATACACCAACAATGACCGTGAGGATGGCTGCAGTTGTGATTTTACATGAATATTTAGCTGAACAGAAGTGTGGTAGACAAGGTGGAAGGAGAAAAGAAAGAAGAAAAGTACAGCGTTGAAGTCTTGAATGGATGCAGGGCGATTATAAAAATGAACAGGCGCATAACAAAAGCAATTCTCCACAGTCAAACATAAGGAATGCACACCATTCTGCTGAATATACCACATTTATTATTTTTGAACTGATTAATAGATAGAGTGGAGGCAAGGCCACTCGCATCAGTTTTAAGAAAACGGAAGGAGGAAAACAAAAAGCAGCTCGTAGCAACATTGAATTAACTTGTCCGAGAGAGAAAGAAAGAGGGTGAAACGAATCCAATAAAGACTGTTAACAGAGGGCCCCATTTTTTTTCAGACATTAAAATTATACACGGAGCAAAGCTCATCAACCAAGCATTTCATCTGAATTTAAACTTAACCCCACTCCCTACTGTTTTTAGATCCTCCCTCCCTTACACTCTCCACCCAAGGAAAAACAAAACAAGAGGGCCCATGACGAGCATGTACACAAAATAATAGTAATAAAAAAAATAGGAGCATAGTTGGCACCAGCCTATGCTGCAAATCCACTGTTGAGGAAGCTCCACTGGGTCCTGGTTAAAGATTTGAGCATCCTTTGAAGAGAGGCAAGGGTGAGGAGGGCTACAAAGAAAATGAGACAAACTGTCCATTCTTCACTTTGGGGCACTAGAATTAGCCAACACTACACATTTCTATTGGATCTGTGTTTGTGTGAGGGTTAGACATGCTCTTGGACCATAAAAAAAGATGATGATCCTTTCATAAAAAAAAGAAGAAAAAGAAAAATGCAGCATACAAAGTAAAGAAGCAAAATGTAGTGGAATGGGGCGGGGCAAAAAAGATTTCACCTAAAGATGCTATGCATTAAGTTGTAGTCCTATGAATAATCGTTTCCTTTTTTTACTACAAGTTCGAAGTCTTTAAAGTCAAGAAATCAAAGTGTTCATTTAGTTTTTTTTTCTTCTGTCCTTTTGATAAGTCCCCTATTAGAATTTCGTAGAGATCTGAATGTATTGATGTACTGGGGTGAACTGGGCTTTAGCGGGGGCCGTTGCAGTCTTTTGACCAAAGCACCAAGTGTTACTTGACTCGTCCTTGGCGCTCCTAAAAAAAAAGAAGGACAGAGTTACACGTGACAGAAATAACACGTCAAATATGTACAAAAGACAGACCTTTTCAGAGTCTTGACTTCATTCATTTAGTCACATTTAGAAAAACTCCCTGGTAGGGATGGACAGTGATTTTTGAATATCTGAAGTTTAGTTTAAATGAGCAAAGAACTAATGTGACCTTCGTTTCCTAACCACGTTGTTCCGGTCTGCTTTTCTACAGAAAACCTATGACCCCTCTATGAAAATGAAAAACTAAGACTGTCCCAGCACCTTTCCAATTTATTCTGAAAGGAATATAAAGCAGAAACTATCGTCATGAGTGAGCTCAGCTTCACTACCAGAATATGTGCATCCCTTCCACGTTGATGCACTGGGTGAGTATAAGTGAAAAACCACAAAGTAGTTATACACAAATACTACTAGGAATAGTAGTACAAGTATTTAGTAGTTCTATACACCCTTCCCACACTCTAGCAATACTCTAAACAATGTTTCTAATCTCTAGAAGAGCACAGCATGTCATGATTTCAGCTACTGCCTCCTCTGCTCTTGGCCACACCCACTTCACTCTGCACGGAGAACAGCTGATCAGGAAGTTTATCCTGCAGTATGGGCTGCACAAAGGTGCAGCAGGTGCTAAATTATTTATTTTAAATAAATTCCATGCCGATCGTGCGGCTCATCCTTCAATCAGCCAACTGTGTCAAGTCTAATCTTATTTTGAACAACGGTGATAGAGCGAGTCCGCGATGAACGAACCACGAAGTAGCGAGGGACTACTGTACTATTTTGGTTAGCAGAATTAGCAGCACATTTCTGTACCCAGAGCTCAATTAATTTAGTTAGCAGGGTTTAGTTGTAGGACATTGAGTGAACTTTAATTTATCACAAGTCCCAGCTACAAAACAGGAAATGGTTCTAAATCATTCAGTGGCAGCTGAAAACAGCACCCGCTCTGCTTTTGAACAATTTGTTGTCATGCACTCTTGTGCTACAATAATTAGCTCTGCATGGTTAAAGGTCAAATTAATCACACTGTAGAAGCACGTACTGTTTGTTAACTATGAAGTGGTGGCTGAGAGGCCAACGGGACACTTTCCAAAAAAATCTGGTGTTTGTTTAAAATACCCATCCCTATTCATTAAGGCGTTATTTTTCCTGACAAAAACCCACGACTGAAAAAAAAAAAAAAAAAAAAAAAAAATACAAACAAATAAACCTTTGTTTTGTTAAAAATAAAAGATCCGTAAAACTCAAGTATACGAATCCCAACGAGTCAAAGCCAAGAGTTTTCACGGAGGACAGTTACCTGAAGCCTGTAATGACTCCTGTTGCTTGGGTTGCTGGGATATGGCTCGCTGCCCTGGACCTCCACCTGCCACACACAGGAATGAAAACTCAGCAGACAGGAAGAAACTTCTTCACAACAAGCAAATCTATGAATAAATTATGATTCCTTAGAAATTATTTTCAAAAGCAAAGACTTTTGAGGCAGCGACCACGTTCATTATCAAAGGCTTTCCATTTCTTTGGATTCAAATTCCTACAAATACAAGTGCATTACACAAAATGTGTGGCACTTATGAAATTAAAAATGAGGAATGTCTAGCACAACAGCCTTAATTAACCAGTTATGTTATTGTCAAAGCTCATCATGTGTAATTCTTGTAAACGTTAAACGTAAAATGATCGTACTTGAACATATAAATGAGAAAAACAGTTGGTAAGACATAAATACTGGGAACACACAAACACAGAACGGTGCATTTCATTTAAAAAAATAAACGAAAAACAAAACAGTACAAAATGAAAATTAATGTCCAAAATCACACGACTATGACACTAAATTCATTCACGTAAAATGTCTGGTTTGTCACAAACTAAAGACGTAAAGATCAGGCTAACCCAGTGAAACCCAAATATCTTTTAAACAGAAACACTGAAGAGCAGTCAACTTGTTTTTGCAGCTCAGGTATCCCGGTTTCTTTCCCTCCATCCATCTATCCATCATCTTTACCCGCTTCTTCTTTTTTGGGTCGCAGCCTCGCAGGATCACTGGTGCCCATATCCAGCCATCACTGTGTGAGAGGCACCCTGGACAGGTCTCCAGTCCATCACAGGGACAGAGACAAACAACCATTCACTCTCACACCTACAGACAATTCAGAGTTACCAATCAGCCCAACATGCATGTTTTTGGTCTGTGGGAGGAAACCCACACATGCACGGAGAGAACATGCAGACTCCACCCAGTAAGGTCCCGGGCTGGGATTTGAACTGGGACGACCTGCTCTCTTGAGATGCAGCAGCTCTATCTACTGCACCACCGTGCTGCCTTGTTTCTTTCCCTAATAAGAAAATGTATTTGTATTTTATTTAAAGAAAATTACTCAGGTTCTGCCTGCAGCATACTTTAAAGAGCAGATCCAGCAGAATAAACAAACATACCATAATAAACTAAGGGTGCACCGATAAATTGGCCCCAATTTCTTTAATTTTGGGATTCGGACGATACATGAGAAATTGATTTGACCGATTTTTTTTTAGTTTTAACAACAATTGTCTGAACTTCATTAATATTTCAGAGCACTACCTCATGGCCAGTTAAAACAAGTTTGTATTGTTTCTAGGATATTGTTCAAGGGTAAGTTTTTTCAATAAAAGATAGAAAACTTTTAGGTGCGTTGTGACTTTATAACTCCTGATGGTGTCGCTTATAACACAAAATTGGAATCGGCAGGTCAGACTTTTTAGAAATCGGTGATCCGCCAGAAGACTGTAATCGGTGCACCCCTATAATAAACGCACGTTTGTGACCGTTTAGAGAAGGAGAACAAGTATCAGTGCTTTTAACAATGAATATTGAATTAATTGTCTCATTATAATCAAGTATCACTGGGTGGAGCAGTCCATCTCAGAGAGAAGGTCGCCTCATCAAATCCCTGTCGGGGACCTCTCTGCGTGGTGTGCATGTTCTCTCCGTGCAATGTGTAGGTTTTCTCCGGCTACTCCAGTTTCCTCCCACAGACCAAAAACATGCATGTTAGTCTGACTGGTGACTCTAAATTGTCCCTAGGTGAGAGTGAGAGGTGAATGGTTGCATTGCTCGTCTATGTGGCCGCGACAGACTTGCGGTCTTGTCCCCACCTCTCACAGTGACTGATGGATATGGGCACCAGCTCCCAACAACTCGGAAAGGAGGAAGCAGGTAAATATAACGGATGGAAGTATCACTGTATACAATGCACAGGTGCGTGAAGATGTAAAAAACAAAAATAATAGTTTTGACAGCCAAGGCAGGCAGCTGCAAATTGAGTGTAACTGATATTAAAATATTTACATTCTAGACATTTTTATTGTCTCGTAATTCATGTTAAAACAAGGCACTACATGCAAATCTGACAGGGGGAAATAAAAACTAGAGACAGAAGTCTGTGTTTCATCAAATTATGTAATCCCACTGCAGCTATAAATTCTCAAGACATTTTTTCCGCTCCTTGAGTTTTTTTTTTTTTTTTTGCATTTGAAAACAGAGACAATCAAAACAATATAATTTCACAAGCAATATTTTTTCCCCAATTAAAGAACACATGACACATGATTTATGTTTTACCATTCATCTTATTTTAGAGTAATTTTTTGTTACCTTTTTCACACACTCTTCCTCCTCCTGACGCTTCTCATAGTGAGAAAAATCATCAAAGATGGAAGTGGTGTGTTTATATCCGGCGATGATCTTTAACACCTGCTTGGCCTTGTCCAGCGGCACCTCCTGTGTGTCCCGAGAGTTGGTCACTGGCTTATTTTCGTTGTTCTCCAGTCGAATGTGCCTCAGCTGACTGTTTGGAACGTCTTTAACAAAGATCCAGCGCACATCAAAACGACCCTTCCACTTGTCCTGTGACCACACGCCAGCTGACGTGTTGTAGTCTACGGGTGAGCGCATCTCTGCTACACCACAGAAGTGACCGCTCCCATTGACACTGAACAGAAGATACAGCGGCCCTTTGCCACTCAGAGAACGGTAGGCCGCATCAAGCCTTTTGTTGCCATGTTCCGTGCTGCACCAAATGTTGTACTTGATAGACCGATGGATGTCATCCTCGGAGTAACTCTTGATGATAAACACCCTGCCCTGCTTGAGGTTCCAGTCAAAGTCCTTGGGGTTGTAATTGTTAACCATGCGTAACTTCTCTAGAACTGGGTGAGGCTCAGAGGGTACCACAGGAACCACTCCTACATTTGAAGAAGTGGGAGGCGACTGGCCTGTGCCATTCCCACTGGAATCTCCAAATCCATTGGCCCGGTTTCGTGGAGGTACCCAGCGAGTAGGTTGAGACGGTTGTTGCTGTTGGCTTTGTGATGGAAGGGGACCCTGGGAGAGAGGTGGTTGGGGCATCTGAGCCATACCTGGCTGCCCAGTAGGTGGAAGCTGATGCTGCCCTAGTTGGGAAACAGGTGGAACCAGCTGTCCATTGCTCAGGGGCATTTGTGGGTTCCCTGTAGCTGTAGCTCCAGGCTGTGGGGAAGCCTGATTAGGGGGCTGTCCGTTACTGGGAATTGGGGGCACCTGCTGAGGTGTGGCAGCTTTGGGCATGGTGCCCTTATTGTCCCAAGTGCCAATGTCCATGTTGTGTTTAATGGGCGGAGGAGGCAAATTGGCACCCACCATGCCACCCTTGGTTTTAAGCTTGGGTTGTGGTTTGGCTGGTTTGCTGGCAATATCGGCCCAAGAAGCAGGCTTGGCAGGGGCATTTGAGACAGGAGTCATACTGGGAGGTCCAACAGATGATACAGGGCCAAGAGGCCCCCCACCAGGTAAACCAGAGCCAACCACCTTAGGAGCCATTTCTCCATTACCACCAGGGGCAGCACCACCGATCTTTAGCCCCGCCATGCCCTGATCAAGGCTGTTCATACCAGGTGCTTTGTTCAGGGGTTCGTTGGCAGCAGGTGTAAATGGGGACTGTCCGTCAATCATGGCACCCCCAAGCGAGCTGGGGGCATAGGCATAGCTGCTGCTGTAGCCAGAACTTTGCGGTGTCCCCGACTGTCCCTGAGAGCTGCTACTGCCCCATGTTGTGAAGTCGATGCCACTGGGGAAAAAGTTGAAGCCATGCTGGCTTAGGAATGGGTTGTTCCCCAGGGGGCCGGGTTGGCCAAACATAGCATCCGGGAGGTAGTGAGGTTCCCCATTGCTCAGCTGTCCATAGGAGGCCAGGTAAGGCATAGGAGGGTCCCCACCTGTGGACCATGTTGCCTCATTCAGAGAGTAGGAAAATCCTATGGAGGGGCTGTAGTAGCTGGGCATGTACGAGTCCGACATAGCCGTATAGGCATTGCTCTGTATAGAAAGAGAAACCGTTTCAGTGTCAAGATACAAAAACAAAATTTAATGAAGAGCTTTAGCTTGAAACCGATTAAAAAAGCAAGAAAAAATTAAAACAAGCATATATCACAGATAAGTAGTAAAGTAATTAAATATCAGACAGCATTGCTTGTTTTCCCTTATATTCCCAGGACATCCTTGTAAGAGACATTAATAATCTTAATGGACTTATTTCCTGGTAAAATAAAAGTTTAAATAAAATTTTGCATACTCCCCATCTATAAATACAGAACAAGCTCCGACAACAAACAAGACTTGAACAGACAAGATTTGGTTAGTTTCCTTTCTCACTGCTTTAAAGTGAGAATTACTTCTCCAATCTTCTACAAATTAGTAAAGTGAAATACAATTAAAGACAAGTGAAAACAAGACACTAAAGTACTTAGGTCTCTCAGTAATTCTTAGAAACAAAAAGCAATTTGTGCACTATTCACATAAAAACTGCCCCAAGAGCAGCAAGTTGCTAATAATCCCTTGGATGACAGTGTTACTCAGGTTTTAACAAAAACAGTAAAGGGAGTTTTGAAGACAGTAATATTTGAACACAGGCCGACAAATGGTAAAGAATGCCCAATAATTAAATGCAAAGTCCTACATTCAAAACATTAGTTACGGAAAACAAACAAAAACATGCTCGCATGTAAAAGGAGGTGAATTTCAATTAGGTTTTTTTGTTTTGTTTTGAAAATTAAGTTCAATGTAATTATCACGTTTTGAGATGCACATTTTTTAGATGACTTCCACTCGTATAACTATGGAGCAAAACGTTAAATTTGTGATTCATTAAATGTGAATTCTCGAATAGACTGATGTGCAACATGATTCACAAAGTGGACAAGTCTTGGTTAAATTCTCACCTGTCTGGCCTGAGTATTCAGGTAAGGCTCAAACTCATCGTCATTCAAAGTATCCTTTTGGGTCACGGCTCCGTTTTGCACTAAAAGAGGGAGAGCAAAAACAACAATGTAAACAAAATGCTTAGGTTTATGAGACTTCACACGAGCAGGTAGATCACCTGCAACACAGCAAGACCACTCCCTGACCTGATCTTACACAGGACACATGATTACAACACCTTTATTTAAATAAAAAAGGATGTAAACAAAACTCATGGAGAGTTAAAAGATGCCAAAGTGATGTAATCACATCTACAAAAAGTTAGCCTCCATATTTAAAGGAAAATTAATCTAGGCAACTGTGGTCAGATCTTTACACAAGTTTAATATTACTCACTTGTTTTACGACCAAATCTTTAAGTTTTAAATAATTTTAACATGAACTCAGAAACAGGGCAATAACACGGTGTAAACGTACGCTCTGTGTTGAGGCAGTAAAGAGGACAAGAAGCATGTGAAAGGACGTGCAGTTAGCATCCTGCTAACCGTATCATGCTAGTAATGTGGTCAGCTGCGTGATGCCGAGCGCCAAGAGCCCTTCACACTTGATGGACTTAGATAAAATGGTATTTGCTGCTCAACACCACCAACATGCCTCATTATTAAACAGATGATGTGGTTTCACACCTGTTGATCTGAGAAAAAACCCCTCTGTGTGTAACAAGGAAATCAATTGACGTTTAGTCAAGAAGCTATCGAGCGTTAGTTTATTGGAGACATTTAACGGTGGCTTCTTAAATCAGAGATGTTAAAAAAAAATAAATAAATAAAGGCACGGCGTTCTCGTGTTTCATTTAGGTGGTAAAACGAATGCGAACTACACCGGGCCTATTCCCCAAGAAGCTATCACCATTCGCAAGATTTTCGAAGCGCAGGCAAAAAGATCCGCATTCACAGCCCCACCACCCCCTCCCCCAGCCCCCCCATCCGAGCGGAGACTTACCTTTATTAGCTTGGCCTTTCGGTCTCTGGATTGGGTCCAGGTGATTCATGAAGGTTTGATTTATGAGAAGAGAGGAAGGGGAAAAAAATAGATGAAGAGACGTATTTTCAGCAGTCAGTTCCTTTAGCAGGTGGTCAGGCCTACTGCACTACTGAGCCGCTGCCTCTGAGCTACAAGCTAACTGCGCTAGCCGTCGCGATGCTGACAAATTTGGCCCCGTCGTAAACGTTCAGAAAATTCCGCTCTTTACCTGTTCAAGAAGGCTGCTGGCTGACATGTCTTTCCCCCCCGGAGTCTGTGTAAGTGTGTTTACTCCTAAATAAAAGCGGCAGGGTGTAGAAATAATGTAGCTATTGAGTTTTAGCCAAGTGCCCTTATCTTTCTACAGAGCCTGCTCTCTACACAATGGCGGGCAGTAGTTTGCTTGACAGACTCCTCAACATGGCTGGGCGGCCCTCGTCAACTCGTAAAGACATTTATTCACAGCGAGCAGGCGCCCCCCGGCGGCGCGGGGGTGTAACAACATGCGCCGCCTGATCCACTAGAGGTTGAAAATAATAAAATGTATAACAACAAAAAAGGTTAAATAGTGTCACCTGGACCAGTTTCTTTAATTGAGAAACGATTCGTTCCCCATTCCTTAATAAAATGTACATTTAAAAGTTTAAACAAGCCATAAAATGGAGTGCATGAACAAAACAAAACAGAAATAAGAGCACTATATATCGGTCCGGAAGGTTCATCAGTCAAGGAAACACAACAAAACTGATTCTTCCCCCAACAGCTTACTCCAAAGTGGAACAAACCAGTTCTGCTTGTGGTAAGATGGTCTCTTTGGTACGCCCCCTCCTCCATTGCCTGTCCAGATGACCTGACTGAAAAATGTTGAATTGTACACCTGGATTATTGAGCATGGACTTTGTTGTTAAAGCTTTTAAAGGTTTTATCTTATATTGTTTTCAGCAGTATCTGCTTCTTTTGAAGCAATCTTTAAGGATTGCACATATAAATGAAAACAGCGCGTACAGAATGGAGTGGTGGTCAGCACTGCTGCATCACAGCAGGAAGGTTTGTGGATCAGATTTAAACAAATAAAGGGTTAAGAGAGAAAAAATAAATGCTTTTGTACTTGTGATCAAACGTGGATATGTTCTGCAAACATTGCTGGGGGGTGAAACTGTGAATAAATTAATCAATAAATGTTTGATATGTAAAATTATTAGTGTCCCATAATGATTCATTATTATCACTTAATTCAGAGCCCAAAGGTTGAAACTGCATGATATTTGGGAACAAAAGGTCGTTTTGTTGCTAAAAATAATAATAATAAATTATTTTTGGAAATATTAATTCTTGCAAGATAAAAATGGATTGGACAGGCGTCCAGTAATAGTATTTGTAGTGCAGAAATACGTCGAAACCATAGTTAAAAAATTACGTTCAAGACGTTTGAAAACTGTAATTTTAGATTTGGCCACAAGGTGGTAATAGATACTCTTAAATAAATAAAAAAAGAACAGCCAAAACTGTTGCAGAATATATTTATACTTTACTTTTACTATGTAACAGTACAAGATAATCAAATGAATTTGACTTATTTTTCACAATTGTTCATCCCATTGTCTCCCAGCTGTCACCAGGTGAAGCAGGGATGTAACTTTAATACACCATATTATTTTACATTATTAATGTTAGTGTATCCTTATATACTGTTTCTTTCTTATACAAAGTACTTTATAATTTTTTATAATTTTGGGTCTAACTGGGACCTTGAGTACACAATTTAATTCCACCTCATGTATCACATGTGATGGGAATGACAATAAAGAAAACTTGAACCTGGACAGGTTACTACAGTGGTTTCTAAAGTTGGGCTCTGATTCCAACTGTGAGTGGCTAAACACCAATTTGAGGGTCCTGAGGTGGTCTCCAGAAATCAGACTAAATTTAAAAATAATCTCTACCTACATTTTTTTATAATTGTTACAAAAGATTGAAAATGATTGTCACAAAAATAGTTTAAGCTATTTTTGTTGCGACTGTTTTATTGTGGTCAGGAGCTAAAAAGTTTGAAAGTCACTGTGTTCTTTTGTCCATTAGCGATAGAAGATGAGCACAATTTTTACTCCAAGGTTTACAGTTTTTGAGCCACATCTAATATAGTTTTTAAAAAAAGTTAATAAAAATTTAAATAAATGAAGACCTGTCATTCCTTGAATAAATAATATCACCCACCTCCTTTAATGCCAAAGCTGAAAACTTTTAAAATTTAGCCGAATTGTCGCCACCTTTCTGTTTGGTTGTGGCGGCCATCTTGAATTGGGTTGATTCCAAAAGTTAATAAGTTATAAATGTGCAGTCAATGATTATTTTTTGGAGAGTTTCATGAAAATCTATCCAGTGGTTCATGTGATATTTTACCAACAGACCCATATGCACACAGTGAAACCTGCAACAACATTATCATCTTTTTACCGTTGTCATTTTACATCCCAAAATTGTTTTGTGTGCAAGAAATTCAATCTTCATCAGTCTTCATCTCAACACGTTGCAGCTGTTCTTTATTTTAAATGCATTAAGAGCAATGAGGGGGAACAGGGACTTCCTCATGTCCCTCTGCAAAACTTGTGACTATTACACCTATAAGTAACTCACATGCCCCTGTCCATCCTCACACACATTTATATGACCATGACCACACATCTCAAGTCTGCAGGGAAGAAAGGGACAACCAGCTTTGTTGCTATATTTCTTCTATCTAAAGCATGTTTACAAGCAAAACGCTGAAACCGTTAAGCGACAGAGAATGCAAGAGCAAAGGAGTCACGCATCAGATCTTGATAAAGCACAGTTTGTGAGTGTAAAGCAGCAACAAGCCATTTGACTTGTGAAACATGCATAGGACAGTAGCACAGCATGTGAGTATCATATTCTGCCTTTCAACTCTCAATCACTTTTGGGTGCTTGACCCCCCCCCCCCCCCCCCCTCTGGGGTCTTGTTGACTACTGCAGATTGGACAGGTGGCATAGCATGGAACGGAGCTGGCCATTTACCATCCAATAAAAATAGCTGCGGTCTCCATGATGTCACCGGTGAGTAAATCACACATCCTCAGTGTGGAGGGAAATAAAAGAGAAAAATAGAAGATGTGGATTTGTTAACTCTATCTAATGTTTTTTTTTTTTGTTTGTTTTTATCTGAATAAAAGGTACATTATTTGCATGCACCGGTTTCCCATTTGCAGAGATAAGCTTTTCCGCAGACTAGAAGACTTAAAACGAGGGATCAAAGGCCATCTCATTCACCATGCGGTCAAGAGTGACATGGCCATTTTCAGCTGCTCACACTGGCTGCCAGAAAGGAGAAAGGGTGCGCACGCTAAAGCTGGAGTCTGATCTCACCTCCATACCTGGCATTCTGAAGCCACAACACCACGCCGCTGATGAGGAACCTGATCAGCTGTAAATCTTCACTATTTGACCATGTGACATGACAAATTTGTGGATCTGCCCTCAGTTTACCCGATGCATTATTCCCCTTATTGCCTCGCTGTCACCTGCAGCGCCCTCCCAACTCAACCGCCAGGAGGAACGGAGACCATCTGCAGATCACTTTTCATATCTGACTATTATTATTTTTGCTAAATATCTCTGTGTTTATATTCAATTATGTTAAGTTACTGTGTGTCTAAATTCACAGGATGTTAGGAATGTAGCACTTGTCATCTTCTCTGAGGATGCAGTTTGTCCACATCCTGTCCATTTCAGGAAGTTAGCCTCTGATAAAGAGAGAGGAGATTCTGTCTGTGTGCAAAAAGCCCAAGATGAAGATATCCCATGAACCAACTGAGAATTAGAGATACGGCGTGTGTGTCTGAGCATGTTGTGAGTTCAATAACTTGAAACTTATGTGAGGTACCAAACTCTGTTTTAGTGTGTGGCTACATCTAGACATAAGAAAGGTTCCTTTTGAAAACTGGGGTCCCAAGTCAAACTCCGAGGTGGCCACCGCTATACCAGCTACCCGCATCATTTGTGAAAACTGTTTTTATTTATTTGATTATTTAATTATTTTTTTATTTTTTTATAGTTTTAAAGTATAATTTCCTTATTGCAATGGCTGAAAATTAATCCATGGTGTCCAAGGCCACCTTTGGTCACCCACTGTCTCTGCCATTGTGCTTGTTGGTGGATAAAATGTCTCCCTTTGCTCACCAGGGTCTGTCACTCTGTGCCGCTTCAGACAAGAATAAAAAATCCCACCTCTCTTCTTATACACAACATAACTTCTATCCACTTGATCCATCCATCATCTTTACCTGCTTCTTCCTTTTGATGTCACGGGATCACTGGTGCCCATGTCCAGCATTCACTGTGCGAGAGGTGGGGTTCATCCGAGACATGTCTCCAGTCCATCACAGGGACACAGAGACAAACGAGACAAAAACATCTATTCACTCTCACTCACACCTAGAGACAATTTAGAGTTACCAATCAGCCTAACATGCATGTTTTTGGTCTGGAGTACCTGGAGAAAACCCACGCATGCACAAGAAGAACATGCAAACTCCACCCAGAAAGAGCCCCCGGCAGTGTGAGATGTAGCGAAGTACAAGTACTTCGTTACTGTACTTAAGTACATTTTTAATGTATCTGTATGCGTTGCGTTACAAGTTACATTCAAGTTGTTAGTTTGAAAGTAACCAATGTTGAGAGGGGAGTTGGTCCAGTGAATCACTGCAAAGTGGACAGGTAAGGTTAGTCCCGCCTTCAAGAAGAGCTGAGCCAATGACGTATATTCGAGTAAATAAACGTCATTGAGCTGGGAGCACCCGCAGCACCACTAACACCTGGAATGGATTCCACTGCGGAGAGTCAGCCTCAAGATGCACACCACCCATGGCCTTATTGAAATACTATTGAACGATTATTGAAAGACCATTAAAAGATTATTCAGTGCAGCAGGACAGATTCTGTCTCCCAAAGAGCCAGACTGGAAACAAAAAACGTTTGTTAATGTGACAATTTAATCCAGTGGAGAGGACAATAACAGAAAAAAAACACATACATTTAGTTTTATTAGCATGCTTAAGATAGAAAAGTCTGTCAAATGAGCACGTTTTAGATGCGTTAAATGCTGTCTTTGAATTGAATTCAAATGAAACGTGAAAGTCAACTTGCAAATCAGTAAATTGAGAGGAACATTTATAACTGTGGGGTCGTGGGGAACGAATCGTGAAGTAAAAGTCAAGTGTGGTTCTAAGCAACTCTTCCATTTCTCTGACTTCAGCACTCTGGGGTCCTGGTGGTCTGTGCGAGGACAATGAGCGGGCTGTCTGAGGAAGAAAATAGCTGCACACTTGCACATTCTATCACAGAGGATTTATTAGCAACATTTGTGAAGAAGCTTGAATGAGCCAGACCTGTCCATATGTGGGGCCTTTG